GGCAAATTTTGATTTCATCAATTTAAATTTCAGGATATAACAAGAAAATGAAATTGCATCCAATATGGTACAATAGAGAAAGCAAATGGATTTTCTTAGAAGATTTTGACATAAACTTTTAAGACAAAACCCAGATACATGTAGATAGAAATTTTAGAAAGTTGAAGTCACTTTAAGATATGTGACGTTGAAATCTAATTTCTATTTCCAAATTTCGTCGAAACAAGTTTGAATCCGTTACACACAAAAAAGATCGATAAGTGTGTTGGAAAAAAATTCCAACATTAAATCCGAAAAAAACCAAATTTCATAGAAATGAATCATGATATAACGGTTTTTTTCCACGAAAAGAGAATGAAAACCATTTTTATGAAATTTGATTTCTTCTCTTTCAAATTTTTCTTTTTTTTTTTTCCACAAAATCTAAATATTGAAAGCATACCAAATCACCTGGTTTTTTTATGTATAAATCTTGAAGAGAAATTATCCAAATTCCTACTAATGGAAAAGAAAAGTAAAAAATTATCTGAATACTTTAAATAGTTGGACTAAGCGTCGGCTCCTTCATAACGTCACCGTTTTAAGAAACGTAATCCTTCTTCTCCCGTCTCACCGGAATTTTCTCGCTTTTGTCTACTCTCCTCCGTCGCCATCGCTCTCCAAGCTCAGCTCTTCCTCCGCACCCCCTTTTCCCGGTCAGATCCTTTTACGGATTTCTGTTTCCCTGATGGTTGATTTAAGGAAAAGAAATTTAGATCGTATAGGTCTCGAGCTTTGATTGGAATTATGAAATTGGTATCGAATCTTTAGGTTTTTGATTAGGTTAATGGCACCGTATCTCTGTGTATGGAAATTTAGGGTTTTTTGGTCTCTGGAGCCTGAACTGATCCCCTTTTCGTGTTTGGTCGTAAAGTCTCGTGTTTTTCTTCTTCTGTTTCTTTGGATTTGGGTGATTTTTCTCTATCTCAAAGATGAGAGGAGCCAGAGATTTTGTAAGACGTTAATTGGTGAACATTTGAATCTTAGAGTCTGAATTTGTTCATAGGAAAATTTCTTCTGAGGGATGTTATCAGCTAATTCTGAAATGTTTATATCTAAATCTTTGGTTTGTTTGTGTCTTCGTGGATCTTATTCTGTGAAAATTCTCATGATTGCCATGTACTTGTTCGTGCTAATGTTTAGTCTTCTCGATTGCTTACCGAGTAAATGCTTTTTACATGTAAGTTATTTGGATTATTTGTAGATATAGAGTGATTTTTCTGTGAATTGCTTAGCTCTATATGTAGATTGATTCAGTAAACTCATTACGTTTGGCTGATTTTCCAGTTTTGCTCAAATTTTCAGGAGAACTATAATCGCAAAGTACGAAGAGGAAACTGAAATGGTTTTGTTTTGTTAGATGCTATTGGTTTCGATCCACATAGTAAGAATATTTAGGTAGAGAATACTAAAAGCAATGGGAGATGGCAGTTCCACTAGATCCAACAGCAGTAGTGAGAAACCAGAGTGGCTGCAACAGTACAATCTTGTTGGTAAGATTGGCGAAGGGACTTACGGTCTTGTTTTCTTGGCTAGAACCAAGGCTCCGCCTAAAAGACCAATTGCCATCAAGAAGTTTAAGCAGTCAAAAGACGGAGATGGAGTTTCCCCAACTGCAATCCGTGAGATTATGTTGCTCAGAGAGATTTCACATGAGAACGTCGTGAAGCTTGTGAATGTCCACATCAATTTTGCAGACATGTCTCTGTATCTTGCCTTTGATTACGCCGAGTATGATCTCTATGAAATCATCAGGCACCACAGAGACAAACTCGGCCATCCGATAAATCAATACACAGTTAAGTCTTTGCTCTGGCAGCTTCTCAACGGATTGAACTATCTTCACAGTAATTGGATTATACACAGAGATTTGAAACCGTCGAATATCTTGGTTATGGGTGATGCAGAAGAACATGGAATAGTGAAGATAGCTGATTTTGGGCTTGCGCGTATATATCAAGCTCCGCTGAAACCGCTATCAGATAATGGAGTTGTGGTCACAATCTGGTATCGTGCGCCGGAGCTGCTTCTAGGCTCGAAACACTACACTAGCGCCGTCGATATGTGGGCGCTTGGATGTATATTCGCAGAATTACTGACTCTCAAACCGTTGTTCCAAGGAGCAGAGGCAAAATCGTCTCAAAACCCTTTCCAATTAGATCAGCTCGACAAGATATTCAAGATCTTAGGCCACCCGACGATGGATAAATGGCCTATGCTAGCTAACCTTCCGCACTGGCAAACCGATCAACAACACATTCAAGCTCACAAATACGACAGTGTGGGTCTCCACAACGTGGTCCACCAAAATCTTAAAAGTCCCGCTTATGATCTCTTATCCAAAATGCTGGAATACGACCCGCTGAAACGGATCACGGCTTCACAGGCGCTAGAACATGAGTATTTCCGGATTGATCCTCTCCCAGGACGAAACGCATTTGTAGCCTCCCAACCGATGGAAAAGAATGTGAATTACCCAACTCGTCCGGTCGATACAAACACGGATTTCGAAGGCACGACAAGCATCAATCCGCCTCAAGCAGTAGCAGCAGGAAATGTAGCAGTGAACATGGCAGGAGCTCATGGGATGGGCAGTAGACCGATTCCAAGACCAATGGTTGCACATAACATGCAGAGGATGCAACCACAAGGCATGATGGCTGCTTATAATTTCCCGGCTCAGGCTGGGATGAATCCAAGTGTTCCGCTACCACAGCAGCGCGGGATGGCTCAGCCACACCAGCAGCAACAGCTAAGAAGGAAAGATCCTGGAATGGGTATGTCAGGTTACGCACCTCCTAACAAGACCAGACGTCTCTAAAGATCATAAGGTAATATTATCAATTTCGGTTTTTTTTTCCGCCTGATTCGAGTCTGTGTTTAGGCGCAGAAGAAAGTGTCGCGAGTTGCCCCTGATTCGAGTCTGTGTTTAGGCGCAGAAGAAAAGTGTCTCGAGTTGCTTTAGAGTAGACTAGATTGTTATGCAGCAGGTGGTTTCTTGCTATTCATATGCAAGGAAGGATTCAGTAGTTTTGTAAAAACATTTCTCTCAAGTGTTTGTCTTGACGAGAGTCCATCTCAAAAGTTAAATGGTTTTTATTTAGAGTTAATTACTAGAATGACTTTGGAAAGTAGGGTAATTACTAGAATGACTTTGTCAAATCTAGTAACTTGACACAACTCGATAAAAGACAAATAAACTTTAATAATCTATTTTATTTACGCAACTGCCATCCTGAAACCTAAAAAAAAAAAAAAACTTATAAATCTATCATAACTACCCAATAAGTCTACCACCACATGTATACGTTGGAAATTCTTTAAACCAATAAATAAAAGATTTGTTTGAAACCACCGTCGCGGAGGCTGTGGAAGCACCGGATCATGCTCGGCGAAGGTGGGGAGGCTGCAGAAGCACCGAGATTTAGGTGAAAATTGAACTAAAAATCAAAAGTTGAAAAAAAAACTCAAAATCTTTTGATTTTTTGTTAGAAAATGGATATATGATGTTAGATCTACTAGTTTTAGGCTAAACCCAGTTGAAAACAAATTAAAACACAGCAAAAACGAGCTAAAAATGAGTTGGCCGCCATTGTTAGGGTTTGACATAAGTTTGGGTGTGTTGGAGAAGATGAAGGGTAAATTACGATTTTGTCCTTCATTGAATAAATCTACCACTACTATAAATAAATATTATAAGTCTACCACTACTACAAATAAGTCTACCACATATTATAAATCTACCACTACCACATATTATAAATCTACCACTATTATAAATAAATCTACCACAACTGTAATTAAGTAAGGTCATTCTAGTAAAACTCTGAAAAGATTTAATAAGTCTACCACAAAGACAAATAAGTCTACCAAATTTAATAAATCTACCACAACTTTAAACAAGTCTACCATAGGGCGAAACCATAATTAAGTCTACCACCACTAAATATAAGTCTATCAGATATTATAAATCTACCACTACTATAAATAAGTCTATCATCGCTAAACATCAATAAGTCTACCAATCAAAAATTAAATCTACCATCACTACAAATAAGTCTACCGATCATAAAATTAAGTCTACCAGTACTACAAATAAGTCTACCACATCTTATAAATCTACCACTACTATAAACAAGTCTACCATCGCGCAAACCATCAATAAGTCTACCACTACTACTAATAAATCTATCACTGACAAATAAATCTACCACAACTATAAATAAGTCTACCACTACAACGCATAAGTCTACCGTAACTACTTAATAAGTCTACCACAACTTACAATAAGTCTACCACTACTTACAATAAGTCTACCACTACTATAAACAAGTCTACCACTGCCTGCACCGTAATAAGTCTACCGACCACTTTATAAATCTACCACTACTACAAATAAGTATACCGATCCCAAAATTAAGTCTACCAGTACTACGAATAAGTCTACCACATATTATAAATCTACCATAACTATAAATAAATCTACCATCGTGTACACCGTAATAAATCTACCAGACGTTTAATAAGTCTACCGTAACATAATGGTAGACTTATTTAATTTTGGCGGGAAAAAATTTCTGTTTCATTAATGGCAGTTTCGTAAATACGTTTTTTATCTTCAAATGAAATAAGGTTAACATAGGAATTAAAAAATTTTTAAGGTCATTCTAATAATATTCAAAGATAGAGGTCATTCTAGTCCAAATCTTTGCTTGACAAAGTCATTCTAGTAAACCACCTTTTTATTTATAAAGGTCTTTGTTGCTTCAACTTTCAAGAGTTCAAGTTGTCTAAGTATGTAAAGTAAACAAGAATATTGGAATCAGCATCCAGATTGAAAATCAATGTCCTCTAAACAGTGAACTAAATTATTGAATAAGAATTTAAAAATTAAATTAACTTATGTTCTTTTTCAAAACTGTCAAGGAACACAATTATTGGGATCGTACTATTTAGTATTGGCCAACGTGTAATTTTATACAGTTGTCTTCAACTTATTTG